CTCTTAACTTTCCTGATATGACATCTCAAAATACCCACTGATTATGCCAGCAGATTGTGCTAGAATCCTTAAACAGATTTTTTTTAGATGCAGGTTTAACATACAAGCTGTTAAGACTATCTTTCTACTCCTATGGACAAAATGATTAGAATCAGGATACATGATTCTGAATTTTTCCTTAATGTTTTTTATTTGAAAGGCAGATTTACAGAGAAAAGGAGAGCAAAGATCTTCCATCTGTTGGCTCACTCCCCCAAAATGCCTCAACAACTAAAGCTGAGCCAATCTGATGCCAGGAGCCAGGAGCCTCCTCTGGAAGTCTCACATGGGTGTAGGGTCCCAAGACCTTTGGTCATCCTCCATGGTTTCCCCAGTCTATAAGCAAGGAGCTGAACTGGAAGTGGAGCAGTCAGAATTAGAACCAGCACCTATACGGGAGTGCTGGTACTACAGGAAGAGAATCAGCTGGTTGAGCAATAGCCCTGACCCTTGATTTCTTTCTTCTTTCTTTAAATTATAATATGTACTTTGTTATGGCTTGAATAGTCCTTTCCCAGTGACTAGCCATCAGGACAGACACACGGTCCCCACCAGAGAGGGCACAAGGATAAAGAGGCATCTCACAGCCTCTATCAAATATCTGAGCTCCATTTTTATTCTTCCTCCAATGTACAGTTTCAGTTGTTTTTTTGTTTTGTTTATGAAGATTTTACTGATTGACTTGAAAGGCAGAGTGACAGAGAGACAGACAAAAAGAGACTTCCTATGTGCTGATTCACTCCTCAACAATCATATAGCCAGGGCCGGGCCAGGTGCAACTGGGAGCCAGGAGCTCCATCTGGGTCTCACACACGGGTCACAGGGGCTTGATTTCTGAGAGTAAAATTCTTCCATCCCACAAAGTGCAGTGACTGCACAGTTGATAGAAAGCCAGGAGGTAAGACTACTAAGATGGGAGCCACACTCTTTGGTCCTCAAGGACTGAGTAGTCTCAAGGAAAACCAGTTATTGATATGGGATGGGATAAATTCTGCTCAGTTAAACGCACAAGTCAACGGGAGGACACAGATGGCTGGCCCAGGTCACCTGGATTTGAGCAAGCAGGTCAAACAGGGTAGTCAGGAACATTCTTAAAGTTGTATGTGATCTGACTGTTGACATCCAAATAAGGAAGGTTCTGATGAAAAAGGTATATAAGGCAGAGCAAATCACATGCCCCACACACACCAAAAAAAAAAAAAAAAAAAAAAAAAAAAAAACCAGCTCATTTACCGAACCACGAACAGTTTGGTGTAAAGAATGAACATGAAGAAAACATGGAACCCAGAGCATGAAACTGCTACAAAGCCCAAGGCAGGCGGGACTCAGAAAAGCTTTATAATGCTATATAACTTGGATTTTAAAACTCTGTTAATAATTTAAAAATGGTTGACCAAGTTTGTTCAGGAGCAGAGAGTGGACTCCAGAAAGCCCTGGTGGCCGCTGCCAGCCTGATCACTGTCACACCCTGGGAGGATACAGCCATAGTCAGGCCCGTCACCATCACCCTAATTGGGAGCAGTGGCCTGCAATCCACCACTCCCACCCTCACAGAGTTAGGGCACAGGTAGCCTCACTGCTGGTGGGAATAAGACAGACACAAACAGGTTTGAGAAATAGTTCAATGGTTTCTTTTAAAGTACAAATAGGGTTTTGACAGCAATGTCACCAAGGAAGACCTATCTATATGATAGGCTGCAATGAAGAATTCCAAGAAACACCTTCTCAGTATAGGAGATGCAGGGGCTATGGGGTTTCATGTTATTGAAGGAGAAAAAAGTACAAGGGCAGCTCCAGGGCATGGCAGTAAACATGTAGTCAACCAGAACCATAAGACCCTCTCCATGTCCTAGGGGTCCTGCACACAGTGACCAGTAGAATGCCCAAAACAATGACAGTGGGGAAGAGAAGGAGGGACCAGGCTCAACTGTGTTACCTTCCTGCAGAGGCTCAGTGGGCGTAGTCCACAATGCCTCAATATTATATAGCGGGGAGAACTAAGGAATCAGGATAAACCAGGGAGACCTGGTATATAGTGGTCGTGATTATCCATGCAGATGCCTGGAAACCCCAAACCACAAGATGGCAGAGACATGAGCAGCTGATCCACCTGCTGAGAATTCACACACCAGAGGTCAAGCAGGGAGGCATTGGGTAAATGCAGGCGACCATCACTCACTTTACTCATCTAACAAGAAGAAACAGATATGAAATGCCAACAGTAACAAAAGGACAAAAGATAGGAAATGCAGTGTTTGCTTGCTGCCGGGTCAACAAATCATTAGAACTATCCATATTGTCTATGCAGTATTGGGCTTTTATCACTGTTATCCAAAGACAAACTTTTTGAAAGAAATTATTTATTTGAAGGGCAGAGTTACAGAAAGGAGAGGAGAAACAGAGGGAGAGATCCTCTATCCCAAATGGCCACAGCTATCAGAGCTGGGCTGCTCTGAAGACAGAAGGCAGGAACTCTTCCAAGTCTCTCATACCGGTGCAGGAGCCCTAGCAATTGGGCTATCTTTTTCTTCTTTGCAGGTGCACAGCTAGATCAGAAGTGCAGAAGCCAGTACGCAAACCGGGGCCCATATGGGATGCTGTGCAGTAGATGGAGGCTTAGCCGACTACACGTCATGACAATGGTCCCTGGAGAGGTTCTTAATAACATTCTAAACAAGGCAAGGCTGGACAACCAACTGTACAGAATAGGGAACTAGAAACAGTCATGTCTTTTTGCCCAAACTCATGGTAAGATAATGTCAATTTAAGGGCTGACTGAAGGTAGACCTGACAGCTTGAGTTGAGTTGATCACTTCTATTCTCACCCATGTTTGTGACTGCAGCCCACACCATGAGGTAAAGAAAAACCTTTATCCATCACCACCAACACATTACCCTGCTTCTGGTAAGGCTCTATACAACAGTCTACAGGATGCATACGACAGGATCCTTCTCACCCTAATAATGCAATCTGGCAAGAAAATATCACAGCTGATTTAAGGAGACTAAATGGCTTGCAACGGAGAATCCAAGTCAACCATTATATAGGTGAGTCGTGATAGACCTGGAAGAAGCTACTGGCTCCAGAGCAGATCTGCTTAGCTCCAACCATAGTGGACATTTGAGGAATGAACCAGTGTAAATCTGCATTCAAAGAATACATAATAAATAACCAAATGATGTTATAATTAAGAGCAAAAACTGAAGCAACGGAACTTATAAGAAATTCTTTGAGAATTTTATAATCACTAATAAAAAGGTCGATGGTAGTGCCTCACTTCAGCAGCACATATACTAAAATTGGAATGAAAGGTTGATGGTAAAATTTTTAAATCCTTAATCCACCAAATGGTAGGAGAAAACATTGGCAGAAAAAATTAGTAATTTAACTTAAGTAGAATAATCTAATAACATCATAAATATGAGGAACTTAAAACCATCAGAGTAAAAACAGAGGACGCATCAACCAGATCCACTGTTAAAATATCTGATAATTCAAAAAGGAAGAACATGAGGAAAACACAAGAAATCAAAGAAATAATTAAAAAAAAAAAAAACAAACTGTTGAGGTGAGCCACTGGGACACCAGTTAAAATGCCCCTTGAGATACCCACATCTTATCCAAGTGCCTGGGTTCAAATCCTGACTCTGCACAGATTCCACCTTCTTGCTAACACACACACTGTCGGGCAACAAATGATAACTCAGACACACTTCTAGGGTCCTGGTTTCAGCTCAGTTCAGCCCAGCCTAGCCCAGCCCAGTGCGGGCTTTTGGGAAATATACCCAGAGTGAACAATTTCCTTCTGTCTTTGTCTCAAAAATAAATGAAATTTTATTTCTTTAAGAGAAAGCTTTCTTAGGCTGAGGAAAAATGAGAAGCTCATAATATTTCAACAGGAATGTCTATAGATTACTGAGATATTAGAAAAAGACCAGGAAAAAAAATCACATACTCAAATACACAAACTCAGGGCAATCACACTGTGTGGGTAAACCATACCTTGAAACCAAATCCCTAAGCTCATTTTTCTGGGGCAGGTGTTAACCTATTGGTTAAGCTACTGGTTAGAACACATGAATCCCTTAATGGAGCGCCCAGATTTGAATTCTGGCTCCATTTTTAATTTTGGCTTCCTGCTAAGAGGAGGCAGAAGACAATGGTTTAGCCAATTGGGTCCATGCCACGCACGGGATACTGGCTCCCAGCTCCCTGTTTTAGTCCAGCTCATTAACTGCAATTGTAGGCATTTGAGGAAACAATCAGCAATTGTGATCATACTCTTGCTCATTTTGTCTCTTCTGCCTCTCCAGCATTTTTTTTTTAAGGAGAAAAAGGCAGCGGGTATTTGTCACTTCTATTCCATATTGTACTAGAAGTCCTCACCAGTGCAATTAGGCAAGAAAAAGAAACATAAGGTATGCAAATTAGAAAGGAGAAAGTGAAATCAACTCTCTATAGGTAACATCATTTTAAATTCTAAAAACCCAAAAAATGCTAGAACACTGTAAAATTAATTCAGTAAAGCTGCAAGACACAAACACAACACACAAAAAACTCAGTATTTCCGTATCCTGATGAACTGCTCACACAAAAAACCCAGTCCATAAAAGCATAAAAAAAAAAACTTGAAAGTAAATTTAACCAAGGAAGAATTTGTGCAGTGAAAATCGTAAAATACTGATGAGAGAAAACTGAAGATGACAAAAATAAATGGAAAGATGTGGTCATGAGTTGAAAAAAATAATACTGTCGGGCCAGTGTTGTGACTTCCAACACCACCAGCAAACCCTACGAGCACTGGTTGGAGTCCAACAGGCTCCATTTACAATGCAACTCCCTCCTGCTGTGCCTGGACAATGCGCAGAAAATGGCCCAAGTCCTTGGGGCCATGCACCCATGCAGAAGATTTAGAAGGAATTCTGCTTTTGGGCCAGCCCAGCTCCAGCAATGCACTCACCTGGGGAGTGAACCAGTGGATGGAAGACTCTATGCAAATTCTGCCTGCCAAATATGTTAAATAATCTTTACCCCTCACATACGCCTAAATAAATAAACAAACAAACAAATAAATAAATAGTTTTAAAGATATGTAGATTAAAAATACTGTTAGCATCCTCATACTGCCCAAAATAATCTACAGATTCAACGCCATGTCTATCAAAACTCTAAGAAACCCAGGAACTCCGACGTGGGACATAGGCATCTTAACCGTTAAGCTAAAGAGTTCTTTAAAATTTAAAAATAGAGGGCCGGGCGGAGTGGCCTAGTAGCTAAAGTCCTCACCTTGAAAACGCCAGGATCCCATTTGGGCACCGGTTCTAATCCCGGCTGCTCCACTTCCCATCAGCTCCCTGTCTGTGGCCTGGGAAAGCAGTCGAGGACAGCCCCGAGCATTGGGACCCTGCACCTGTGTGGGAGACCTGGAGGAAGTTCCTGGATCCTGGCTTTGGATCAGCATAGCATCGGCCGTTGTGCTCACTTGGGGAGTGAATCATCAGATGGAAGATTTTCCTCTCTGTCTCTCCTTCTCCTCTCTGTATATCTGACTTTCCAATAAATAAATCTTAAAAAAAAAAAAAAAACTTAAAATAGAGTCGCTACACGATCCAATAATTTCATTTCTAGATACATATTCAAAGAAAACTAAGTGAATAGATCCAAGAGATATATACACTCACATTCATTTCAGCATCATTCGTAACAGCCAAGATATTAAAAACAACCTAATAGTCTAGTGATGGAGAAATCAAGAAGAGTATATTCACAGAAGAATACCATTTATACTTAGTAAAAAATAAAATCTTCAGGCCTGGTGTGGAAGCTCATTGGCTAATGTCCACACCTTGCATGTGCCGGGATCCCATATGGGCACCAGTTCTAATCCCAGCAGGCCTGCTTGCCATCCAGCTGCCTGCTTTTGGTCTGGGAAAGCAGTTGAGGATGGTCCCAGGCCTTGGGTTCCTGCACCCACATGGGAGATCCGAAGAGGCTCCTGCCTCCTGGCTTCAGATTGGTTCAGCTCCAGCTGTTGCGGACACTTGGGGAGTGAATCATCAGACGGAAGATCTTCCCGTCTCTCCTCCTCTCTATTTATTTTTGCAATAAATTTTTTAAAAAATTAAAACAAAAATCTTCACAAGATGGGAGACCCTGAAGGACACTGCACTGAGTGAACTGAGCCAGACAAGAAAATATAAATACTGTATAATCTTACTTAGGTGTGGAATCGAAATAAGTCAAACTCATACCTCATATAGGGACAGAACAGAATGGCGATTCCTGGGACAGAGAGGGAGGGAAAACAGGAGATGCCAATAACAGCAAACAAAGCTTCAGTCACGCAAATAAGTTCAGGGGATCTAAGGTACAGCATAGGCACAGTGGCAATAGTTACGGTGCTGTGTACACCTGACATTTGCTTAAAATAAATAAAAGACCATAAATCTTTTAGCACACAAAAGGTCATCCTAATATCTTCATCGTTCAATGTATACAGGTATGAAAACAGCATGTTATATATCTTAAATATATAAAATTCACAGATCCTAACTCAAAAATGCTGCAGGGGAGGAAGGGATAAATAATTTGAATAGACCTTTATGAATAAAAAAAAAACAGAATTCATAAATTTATAAAATAAACTAAAAAATGCCCACTAAGAAAATTCTAGCATAAGCTGGCTCTACCCATGAATTCTACAAAGCAGGACTAACATTCATTCTTCACAAACTTCCAAACAACCAGAGGGGAACTTACTTACTTGGATACCAAAAACAACCAAATTAATACAAGAAAAGTATAGAGCAACAAACTTTAAATACAGACGTAAAAATCCTGAACCAAATAACAGTATGCCAAATTCAGCAACATACAGAACAAGTTATATTCCTTAATCAAATAAAATTCGTCTTAGGAATGCAAGGTTAGTTCCACATAAAGAAAGTAATCAACAATAAATGTAAACAATGGCTCAAAATGTGATCATCTCAACAAACTGATAAGAACTAGAAAATGTATCTGGTTAAACACATCCAGAGGGTAGTGGGGAGGCAGGGCTAGGGTAGAAGCAAAAATAGAAATAATTTAGAAACGGAAGAAACTTTCTTACTTGAGAAAGTACAGCTTTCCCACAACACAAGATGTAGTCTGTCACTACTTCTATTCAACACTGAGCCTGAGATTCCAACCAAGACAATCAGGCAAGAAAAAGAAATTAATGGCATACTAATTAAAGAAGAGGCCAAACCGTCTCTTTGGTAGGCAACAGATCTCATATATGGAAAACATTAAGCAACAACACCAAAAATACTATTAGATCTAATAAATTCTGTAAGACTGTAGTCACAAGACAAACATTCAAAAATCAATTGTATTTCTCTACAGCAATGAAAATTCTGAAAATTAAGAAGATAATTCCATTTTAATGCCATGAAAAGAATGAGAAATACATTTTTAATAAAACAAATGTCCAAGACTTGTACATAAGAAAAAAATGTTAACATAAAGATGTAAAAAAATGTAAAGACATCTGTGGACAGACTGAAAAACTTAATGTTCTTATGATAACAAACAATATTCCCTAAAACAACAACAATCACTGTAATTTCCATCAAAAGACCAGATGGCTTTCCTGTAAATTGACAAGCTGATCACCAAAATCATATTTAAATGTGCTAGACCCAGAATAATCAAAACTATCTTAAGAGTCTTTATCTCTTTATCTCCTCTTTGTATACTGCCTTTCCAATAAAAATAAATCAATCTTTTTTTTAAAAAAAAGTCTTAAGATGGAGGATACACACTACAGCCTACAATGCTAAGCTAACACACTATGATATGGCATAAGGGTAGATACCTATCTTTGGAACACAACCCAGAGGTAAATCCACACATTTATAGTCACTTTTGACAAAAGTTCCATCAACTCAGTGAAGACAATGTTTTCAACAAATAATAAGACAAGCGAAAATCCACAGCAAAAGAAATGGAATTCTGGGCATGGGTTCAAATCTCAGCTGCTCCACTACCAATCCAGTGCCTGGGAGAGGCGGCTGGAGACAGCCCACGTGCTTGGGCTCCTGCAACCAAATGGGAAACCCAGAAGAAGCTCAGGTTCTTGGCTTTGGACTGGCCCAGAACTGGCTACTGCAGGCTTTTGAGGAGTGAACCAGCAGATGGAAGATCTCTGTTTCACCTTCTATGTAAATCTGCCTTTCAGATAAAACTAAGTAATTCTTCAAAACAAACAACTCAATTTAAAAATAGGCAGAAGATTTTGAATATTTCAAGGAAGAGATATAACTGGTAAATAAGCATATAAAAAGACACTCGGCATTATCAGTCAGTAGGAAAATGTACATCAAAACCAGAATTAGATATCACCTACATACTATCCAGAATGGCTAAAACACAAAAAAAGTATTGGCAGAGATGTGATGAATGCTGGAGAGAATATAAAATGATGCAGCTAGTTTGAAAAATATTCTGGCTATTCCTCAAAATACTAAACATGGGACTTGTTGCGGTTTGATGCATTAAGCTACTGTGTAGAAAATGAACATCTCACAAGAACTGATTCAAGTCCACACAGCTCCATTTGTAACTCCGTTCTCTACTAATGGATCCAGGGAACCAGTGAGACATGGCCCTAAGCTGCAGACCCTTGCCATCCATATGGGAAATTAGGATGAAGTTCTTGACTCTTGGGTTTGGTCTGGCCCAACACTGTGCAGTTGTAACCATTGGGCAAGTGAACCATTGGATAAAAGGATTTGTATATGGGCCTCGGCACAGTAGCCTGCTAGCTAAAGTCCTCACCTTGCATGCACCGAGATCTGATATTGGCGCCAGTCCTAATCAGCTTCCCGTCCAGCTCCCTGCTTGTGGCCTGGGAAAAACTATCAAGGACAGCCCAAAGCCTTGGGACCCTGCACCTGCGTGGGAGACCAGGAAGAGGCTCCTGGCTCCTGGCTTTGGATTGGCACAGCTTAGGCCATTGCGGCCATCTGGGGGAGTGCATCAGTGGACAGAAGATCTTCATTTCTGTCTTCTCCTCTCTGTTTATCTGCCTTTTTTAATAAAAATAAATAAATCTTTAAAAAAATTGTATCTCTTTCTCTAGATTTGCCTTTCAGATAAAAAACATTAAATAAATCTTCTAGAAATTAAACATGTAATTATCATAAAAATCAGTATAGTACTCCTAATTATTCACCTAGAAAACCAAGTCCACACAAAAGCTTCTACCATAGTATTATACAACACTCACTTTAAAAAAAATAAAAACAGACCCTTTGCACCCTAATCAACTATGTAAAACAAACAAAAACAGGAAAATCACAAATGTCCACCAATTCATGAACAGATAAACAAGGCATGGGATAATCCTGTAATGGACTACTGACTCATAAACTGTAACTCTCAAAATGAGTGGGTTGAAAAGTCCAACACAAAATGTCACATAAAACATATCTCCGTTTATATGAAAACGCACCTCCAGAAAAACAAAGCAGAGCAGATGCCAGTGGTGAGAATGTAGGGTATGGGAACAGGATTAATAGCAGTGTTGCTTCTAATGTTTGTGGCCTAAGTTTCAGGGTGATAAGAACTATCTAGAAAATGATAGTGTTAATGCTTGCACAGCATTGCAAATACATTTACAAAGCCCCAAACGTATATTTTCCATGGGTCCACTTTACAGCATGTGATTTATGTCCTAATATAAAAATATTACAGGGGGAGACAGTTGGCATGTTGGTTGAGTTGTCACTTGGGATGTATATATCCCATGACAGAGCACCAAGAGTTCCCATCCTGGCTACTCCACTTCAGGTTCTAGCTTTCTGGTTTGGCTTCCCCGGGAGGCAGCAGGTAAATTTTTCAATTGGGTCCTTTCAATTGGGTCCATGGGAGGATGAGATCATGTTCCCAGCTTCTGCCTAGACCAACCCTAACTGTTGTAGACATCAGGGAATAAATCAGCAGATGGGAAATACATCTCTTTTACTTTCTTTCCCTGCCCCTCAAAGAAAACTGAAATGTTACCAATGCTATACAAAAGGTAGATGCTAGAATTGAAGCACATATACAGTAAAACTATAAAAATAATAAAGGAAACTTAGAATGCGCTTATGGTTCATAGTGAGAAGAGTTATATAACTCACCTAAATGACATAATTGTAGTCTTTAAACCTCACAGCACTGTAAATACTCATCATATCTAAGGACTTTTAACAGATAATCCAATTGACAAAAATAAAATTTACTTTTCAACAGAACAAACCTCATTCTATCTTGTAATTATCAGGTGTCAACTGGACCCTTTTATATGAGAGCTTACTAATCTTACTTTTGCTATATTATAAAATAGTTTGGTAACACCTTATCCTAGGAATTATTTCAGCATTAGTCATCACCAATTATTCCCAATGTACTAAACAAAATTTTGAAAACTAAAACAGAAGGATGATGGTATATGATTAGCACAACAGCAGTTCCTGGGACCAGGTTCTCACCCTAGAACCTGTGAATGTGGTTAGCTTGCACAGCAAAAAAGAACTTTGCAGATGTGTTTAAAGACAAAGGCTTCTGAACTGGGAAACTACCTGAGTTAACCAAATCTAATCACATGCATACCTAATAGCATTTTTATCCCTAAAACACATCATGCGGTATCCTAATTCTCGTGACAATTAGGTACACCAGGAATTATTTTTGCCAACTTTTTCATAATCATAAAAGTTCCAGTAAGTAATGAGCTGCTGCTTTGCATATGTGCCAGAGATCACCTGAACACAGGCAAGAGCTGTACTCACTTTAGCTCCAACACTGCAACTGCCAGTGCTCCCCGTGCTCCCACTCGCAACTCCAGTGAACCTGGCTTCCAACAGCTCTTGCCTTCTCGGATCCAGACTGTGAAGCTCATCCATTGCACCTATTAAGAAAACATACAAGTGTGTGTGTGTGTACACCTGCATTCATACACACACAAACACAACACGTGTGTCTAGTTAAAAAGTTCATAAAGATCTATGTACATGCTTAACATACCATAGTGATTTCTAGCATTACCAACTACAACCACTGTTTTCCATCAAATTCACACACAAATTACATACAACAAAATTTTACAAGTCACATGTTCCTTCTGCACTACAGTAAGGAATCCTATAAAATGCATTATCTAGAATACTCAAACTTGTTAAGAAAGATGGGGTTGGGGCTCGGAACAGTAGCCTAGCAGCTAAAGTTCTCACCTTGCATGTGCCAGGATCCCATATGGGCACCAGTTCTAATCCGGCAACCCCACTTTCCGTCCAGCTCCCTGCACCTGCACTGGAGACCTGGAGGAAATTCCTGGCACAGCATCGACCGTTGTGCTCACTTGGGGAGTGAATCATCAGACAAAAGATCTTCCTCTCCGTCTCTCCTCCTCTCTGTATATCTGACTTTCCAATAAATAAATAAATAAATAAAAATCTAAAAAAAAATTTTTGTTTTGTCCAAAGAAGATATTTAAATGGCCAGTAAGCACAGCAAAAATCACAACTCTATGGTACTTCACATCCTGTTATGAGAGCTGTGGCATAGGGGCTTAAGCCACACTAACCATGCGCCCAGATCTGTTTCTTACACAATTTCCTGTTAATGCACCTGGGAGGTAGCAAATGTCCTATGTGCTTGGGTTTCTGCAACCCACACAGGAGATCCAAATGTTGTGCGCATCCAAGAAACGATATGGCGCAATCAGAATGCTGCGAAAATTGGATGCAACAGAAAATTCTGCAGCCACTGCAGAAAAGTCATATGGCAGCTCCTCAAAAACATCAAATACAGAACTACCATATGATCCAGTAATTTCATTTGAGAGCACATAACAGAAGTGAAAAATGGTATGTGACGAGGTATTTACACATCCATGCTTACAGTAGCACTATTCACAATATGAAAAGGATGGAAGCAGCTCAAGAGTTTACCAATGGATGAACATAAATGAATATAAAATGTGCTATGAACTATGACGTCTTTAAAAAATTCATGGCAAATCCCATCTTGCAAAAAACCCTATTAGTTTATAATCAAATTTTATGTACTAAGATAAACTTACAATTCCACTTTCCTACAACTTTTCATAGTACCCTCATACAAACAAGAATATCATTTATAGACTTTAAAATGAAGGAAATCTGGACATGCCACAACATGAAGACCCTTTAATTCTAGCTAAAATAAGCAAGTTATAACAGGACAAATATTGCTGAATGCTCCCTAGCATGGCCAAATGCAGACAAAATCAAAATGATGTTTGCTAGAAGCTAGAGGATACAGTGGGATGGAGAGTTCATGTTAAAAATGCAAAGGAGTCTCACTTGGAGAAGATGGCAAAAATAAAGAACAATGGCAGTAATGATAGAACAATCTGAATCTACCTATTGCCACTGAATTGAACACTTATAAAGATTTTTAAAAACTAGGAGGCCAGCACAGGGTCACCTGGAGAGTGCATAGTTCGGGAGTGAGAGTGACCCGGGGAGGGAAGTAGGGGGCTCATTCCTCTTGGGCTACCATTCACATGCAAGGGCACAAAACAACTAGGACAGGGGCTGGGGTGGCTAGACAGAGAGGCACTCAACAACATCCGAGAGGGCCTGACAGTTGAGCTGGTTCGATGGAACTAAGCTCCAATACCCTTCGACATTTACGAGAGCCAAATGGGATATGGGACAGACTGGACTAGTCCGCTACACATACTGGCAAACCAGAGCAGGGGCAGGCCTGGTGGGGGTTATTCTGAGTCGCTCTGACTAGGCTGCAGCTCCCACTGGTTTATGTGATGGCCGAGTATGTGATGACCAGAACCAGGATACACTGTAACACCCATTGGTTCCAGTGGAAGTCGGGGCAGAAGACGGAACCAACCCAGCAATTGCAACCACCAGTTGATCAGAGAGATGGACTGTGCCAGGCCCTGTACTCGAGAGTACATATAGGAATCTGGTATGGGAACATCTCAAAGTCTCTTTGGGGATCCACTCAACCAAAATGGCAGACTCAGAACCTTAACCAAGAAAAGACAGAAGATAGAACAGGTCAATCAATCACCACAGCTATATGGTTGGCAGCGAAACACTGGACAAAGGGAGACTCCATGATGAACTATGTCCATCAGTAGATTATTCAACAGCTTCATCGTGTCTGGAGTGGCAAGATTGGCAGCAATGCATAACTGGTGAACTACCAGGACCACTTGAGCAAGGATCTCAGAACATGTCCTACATCTGGGACCTGGGGTGTGTAGGGGACTGGGTGGGGCTTCTCCTCAATATTCTCTTTAGCCCTTGTAACTTTTTACCCTTATCAGCAATGTAAAAATTGCTAAACTATAATGGAAAAAAAATCCTGTAATTACTTATTTTAACATGTTGATCTATTTAATTAAAAATACACACACACACACACACACACACACTAAAAGAAAACTGCAAGCTATCTGTGCTATACATCATGCCTGATCTTGATTGGTGGGTGGGGTCTTAGCAGGGAAGCTGAGCACACTAAGCTAGCTAATGATAAGGTGTTTTGTTTCTCCCCCCATTTTTTTCCCTGCTATATATATATCACATGAAGTTACAGAGGAAACTATACATGCACCAAGGGGTGAAAAGAAATTTAGCCAAAATTCTTTGAGGCCCAACCTCACTTTCATCCTTAAATGCCTTCTAAACAAGTTGTCAAGTTTTTTTAAAGATTTTATTGTTGTTATCACTACTGTTTTTGTTGTTGTTACATCTGAAGACTGAGTTAAGAAGAAAAGGATAAGCCGAAAGAGATCCTCCATATACTGGCTGACTCCCCAAATGGCCACAATGGCCTGGAGATAGGAGCTTCTTTAAGGTCTTCCATGTGGGTGCAGGGGCCCAAAGACTTGAGCTACCCTCTGTTGCTTTCCCAGGTCATGAACAGAGATCTAGATCGGATATGGAGCAGGCAGGATACGAACTGGCATCCCTATGGAACGCCAGCAGAGCAAGGAAGAGGTTTTAGGCTGCTATACCCCCAGCACCATTCCAAGTTTCTAAGATGTTTAAAGAGGCAAAATATTTTTGAACGACCAGTACATTGGTGCATAACAGATGTGTAACATTATTATTTTAGTCTAAAAATAAAAATATTGAAAGCTGTCATTCAAAATGCAATCCATGGATTAGCAACAATTGTTATCACATAATATGTAAGAAATTCATAATATTTGGTCCTCCAAATCAGAATCGCATTTTAACAAGATACTTGGGTCATTGCTACATACATTCAATGCCAAGAAACACAGTTGAAAAACAAGTATCTGTAGCATTTTTCTGTAGAAGGTCCAATCATAACTATTTTAGTGCTTTACACAGAATTACAAAACGGATCACCTGAGAAAAAAGTGTCTACAAACCTTCTATAAATAAAACTCAAGATACAATAATGAATATAATACATTACAAATCTGGAAAGAAAAGACAAATTCTTTTTAAAGGATACACTTCATTTAACTCAATTTCCTGTCATCAAAACCTACTGCAAATTCTCATCTGTTAATGCTGATTCGCCTGAGATTTTATGTACTTGTTTTACCTTTTGAAATGTCTTCACACAGATAAGGTACTAGCAAACATTAATTTAATCCACAAGCACATGATTTGAATAGAGCACATGCATTACTTGGAAGTTATTTATATTAGATTCTTCTTTCAATACCTGCCTTTCAATATGTTCACTACATTACATATTAATCACTTCCAAACGAAGATTAGGTAGAAGTTCCTCAACTGTACAATTAAGTGGATTGTGAAATACGGACATTTTCATCGCACTTGCATCAATGTCTGAAAAACAATAATACTACAATTTGAGGCTAGAGACGCTATCAAAGCAAATTCTTTAACAGCATATGAAGTATATAAAGCAACTTGACATTACTTGGGATTCAAACATCAATTCTCACTGAAATGACTTTACTTCAGTCTAAGTTTCACACTTTGCCTTGTAACTTAGGTTACATTTAAAAGCAATATAAATCTTCAGAAAAAGTTAATTTTATAGGATAGCCAGTATTTGACAACAGTAACTGTAGAGTCAGTCCTTGTCAGAAAAATTTCTATTTCAGTCTTTAGCTCACACAGTTCCAAAAAACTATCAGTGTGAAACCAGTCAGGATGTTCAGTTTCTATTTCTAGCAAACATTCATGCAGCTGATGCCAGTTAAGTCCATGTAAGTGTATGACATTCGCAGAAAACTGTATTGACTCCATAAAACAGACTATACATTTACATGTTTTATGAAAAGTACCTGCTGGTAACACAACAAATAAAAATAGGCTTTGAACAGCTTATATTTACAAGCTTTGTAAATTTGTCCAATTAAGTCATTTTCTGATCTTATGCATATTTTATAACCAGCCATTACAACATCTTAGCAGATACCACTTCAGATTGTACTTGGTGTTGTCTCAACTTCAAAATACTCTTCTCTGTAGTTGTTCCACAAAGACTATTCATAAAAGTAGTTTTCCTGCCACTTCAAACTTGGCACCGACTCCTTGAATAAACAACTGAGCACTATCAATAACATCTGTGAGCTCATCAAGAGCCAAAGAAAACCACTCTAAATCATTTGCTTTGTTTTTTAATTGGATATTGATGTTGCTTCAAATGCCCTCAACTTTTAAATTAAGTGTTCTTGCCAAAAAACTAACAGCTTAAAACAAGTGTATTTTCTCCAGACATAAATTTGACTACTGCAACCAAACACAATTTAATTAACTCAACATCAATAACTGGCTCTTCTTGCCTGGCTGACAAATGACCCACTTGGAAACTTATTTTGGTAGTAGCCACATGCTAATTTTTATGAAAAAAATTATGCTGTAATGAGTTATTCCATTTGAAAAT